TATATATATATATATATTCGAGAGGCCCCCGACTAGATGCTAGATGGGAGAGGAAGGCGATTCTCTGTAATGGGGTTAAGGTGTGACAGGGTCATCAATTTAAAAAGCAGCTGATGCCTCTAATGAGCTACATGATCTATTCCCCTGTGTGTAAAGAAAACATTGGGAGCGGCCACGAGTTAAGTGGCCGGCGCACTCGAAAAGGTCCCGGAAAGGCTGCAACGTTTCCCCTGCGCCCCCCCATCCCGTTCTGCCCGCACTCACGGTAACAGCCTTGTTTCCAGTAGTATCCCGGCAGGCAGTCGTCACATTTGGCCCCCGCAGCGCCGTCTTTACACTGGCAGAAGCCCGTGCCGTTACACCGGTCGTGGATGGAGCCCAGCTGGTTGCAGTTACACTCTGAGGAAAGGCACAGAAAATGCAAGAGATGAAGGTTTGACTTGATAGCTGAAGCATTCGTTTGCTGAACGTGTCAAACTCAAGGCCCCGGGAAGGCTTACTGCGATCACCAGAGTTTTTCATGTGGCCCTCTATAGACTCTTGAAGGACACATGAAAGCAACCTTCAAACAGTTGTGTGCTTAAATACGATTTTGAAGTGGTTTTTATCTGTATGCTGCCAAATAACATCAATTTGAAAATGTTTCATATTATTAATCCAAGAATTACTGATTGCAAAGACAGCTATTTAATAATATTTTAACAGTTTCCTAATGGGTTTTGTCAATAAATTCTGCCACAACCGGCCCTTTGGGGACATTTATGATTCTGAAATGAAAACAAATTTGACAGGATGTGCATTCTTCTTAATTGTTCATTGACATCATGCTATAGTTTTGGTAGTAGTGTTTGGATTTGTATTCCTGCTGAAACAAGAAGCTTCCTGTGCAACATTTTAGACCTTATAACTGCAAACTTTATTATGTTTTCATACGATTTTGAGGGATAGACCAACACAAAGCAGTGCAGAAAGGAAAAGTATTTATGATGTTCTTTAGGCAACGTATTTAACAGCTGTGCACCTTTGCAGCTCCTGTAATACCACCATTGGCCTCTAGGATGCTTCTCTTCTCTCGAAATTAAAAATCGTGCCATATTTTTTTTTTCATTTTGAGCTAAAGATCAGGACTTTGTTTAATAACATAACTCTGCTTTAAGAATCACCGTCTTACTCGATCTCTGACCTGTTTGCTGTGTTCCTTGGACTGTTTGTTCAGTAACGAGGCGACGCCTGCCAGCTAATTCAGGCAGTCTCCTCCGGCTGAGATGCTGCTTCCACACGTGATATTTCTCATACTCTGCAGAATATACCAAGCAACCCCTAATGATTTCTATGGTCTATTTAAGCTGCAAAACCTCTCCAGCTGCACTGTGTTTCCTCCTGTGCAGCTTCTGCTTGGTTCTCTTCAGCTCCTGAATTCGAAACCACTTTTGTTTCTACTTCGTGTTCCTCCGTCGCATAATATCCGATTAAAACATATTGGGTGTTTGTGGACAAAATGTAAAAAAAAATATATATAATATTTTCCATTGATTTTGTATTTACTATATTTCATGACATAATTTATACAGTTAAGTAATTTTTACCTTGTTTCATTTCACCTTTTTTCTTACCAAGACAAATTCCTAATTTGTTCAGGGCATGGGCGTAGGTTTGGGTAGGGACGGTAGGGACATGTCCCGACCAATATTCACGGGATATGAAAAAGTCC